ATAGTTATCAATGTGAAATTTCTCGACGGGTCTCCAATATTTTGTTCTATAACAAAACATCCAGGTATTCATTCAAGTGTCGCTACACTTTAACTCGTGAGATCAGCTACTTACTTCACAAGTAAGAAATGCCACACGTGATGGTCTATCCGTAATAACGATATCTGTATCTTGTCATTACTTATGACCACGGATGATTTAAGATTCAATCATATGTAACTTGTATCTCACAATCACAACTCCTTGTGATTAAAAAATTACTAAGATTTGAATGTACGAACTCTATTATTTAATTCAATTGAATATTAATTAATTAAATAACGTATCTACCATAAATCGCATCAACTATATATTAAAAGCGTTTATGTCCAAAGTTGATTGGACCTAGGACATCACACTTACATTTTCGATGGTTTAAAGTGCAATAAGGGATTTTGGCCTTTTCTTTAATGTTATTAGAAAATCAATAGTCGGCATGGACTAATTTGATATAGCCTAAGTCATGTCGACCATAACTTTTTAATGCTCTTTTCGAATTTTTAGTATAAAATATTACTTTTTCTTGACAACAAGTCTTCACTTATGGCCAAGAAATGTAAACTATTTTTAAGCTCAGCATCACATACAGTTAATCGAGAAGCCAAGGCTCGGCCTCAAGAAAATAGCAAGCACGACAGAACAATTATGACAGCAGAGAAGTCCAAGGCAAGTTCCACCGTACAGAGTAAATAATTTACATTTCAATTTAGCAAGAAGTAATTCACTACACAAGATAAGTCCATTATCATATCAACTTGTAAAAATCACCTGTATTTCAATCAAACCAAGCTTTCACTTCAAATCCTCTTGGTCTTCAAGGGAACGCTTGCGTGCCCGCAAGTTAAGCTTAAGGCTTTCGGGTAGAGGTGGTGTTCTTCCTCGACGGAATAGAACTGCAAGTGCCCTATTCTTTCGGCAAAGATCGAAAACCTGTAGCATAAGTACTTTTTTCTTACTATGAAGTGGAAGGTTACTTATTTGAAAGTAACTCTTACCTTGCTGTCATTTCCAATTTTGATCGATAAAAGAAGTTTAAAACTTATAAGTAACTTTTAAGCTCAGCTATGCATGCTCAATTCTTACCGATGAGGCTTCTATCTCCGCAACACCTTCACAATCTTGACCTCCTCCTTGAAGCAAATCACAGTATCTTGCAGCTTCATTTTCATCTTCAAATACCTATATCAGATAGAATGTTTCAGAGGCCAAAATCCTACGCTTCTACAATTTAGATATAATAAAAGAATACTTGAAACCAGTTGGACCATTTATCAAAGACAGATCACACAGACGAACCATGTTGGAATCATTTACCAAATATTCAAATGACAACCGGATTCTGGCCTAGCAAAACACTAAAGAAAGTCAAATCCAAAAAAATAAGCAAAAAAAATTATATGTATTGGTATACAACATTAAAGTTCTCCCTCCAAAACTAGCCACACGGAGCAATGGCGTGGTGAGGAATCCCACATACTTCAGTCACTTTTCTTATCCACCAACCAATCACATTTTTTAGTATCCTCACCTGCTCTTTTATGCACACCATCTAACACATACTATCCTCCTCCTAAGATTGTCTGCTGTCAGAATAGATTATTTATCAGCAACAAAGAAATTAAATTGTTTTGGAGCCTTGCACCATAAAATGACTTATTTTCCTAGTAAGGTAGAAGTTACATTCAAAATAAGGAACTTATTTCCCACTTTGTCCAACAAAAAAAATTATTATAAGTTAAAACTTACTTGTATACTATACAATAAACTAAAAAAATTTTCACGCTAGCTCAATATGCAATGCAGTTGATGGCCTTGTTTCCGTCATTTGTTTACTGTTCATAATTTATTTAAGTAGGATATAGAGGAAAAGCTTTAGCAGAGTCAAGTTTAAAACATCGATCAAAGGAGGTTCTAAGAGACAAATATAGGCTCACCACTAACATGATCCAAGCGTAATTTTTTTGTATAAAGGAGCCAAGTTCGAAGGGACTGTGGTAGAAATCGGCTAGGTTTATTCCCAAAAGTTCTAGCTAAACTAGGTTTTTCACGAGAACAAATTTAACCTTTACTAAGTTAACAAATAAACAACCTTATTCCTAAAAATTTAAGTCAAACCACATGGCGGCCAAGATGTGTCTATTTTTTGCAAAATCACCTACCAAAATTCATTAGTGTGTGTAAATTTTGCCAATCTGATCTACATTTTGCGGTTCTAGAAGTTCGATGTTGGAAATCTTCTTTGAGATCTAGTGGGAAGAATGAGAATTTTCGTTGCCATTCTCATAACTGTTTTTAAAGTTTGACCCCTTCAGAATCACGTTCCAGATTAGAAGAATTTATCCTCAGTAAATCGGCATGTTGACAGTCAACATTATGTTGTCAACAATTAAAAGCAAGAATTTTCTAGTTACCATAATGTGGGTTCCTTGTACCGACCTTCACTCCTATAAAAAGGGATAAATAATAACTATTGTCAACTCTCCAGTATCACAGGAAGCGTTCTAATGGCAATTCCAGTTGGAAGGACAATGAGTGAAAGTAGGAAACGAGAGATGAAGAGCCTTTACATGGAAAGTCTCATCACTGGGAAGTTTCGTGAGAATCTTCCATTGGATGTTTTGCAAGATCTCTACACGTATGCAGCCATGGTTCGTGAGGAAATCAATAGGGAAATACAGCGACGTGAGTCTAAGGAAAAAGCAACATCTAGCAAGAACTGAAGCTCTTTCATAGAAATGAAAAATAAAAGAAATAAGGGCATTGTAATACTTTTGCTGGATTAATAAAACGGAGTTTCATTTAAAATTATTTTGTTTATGATTATGCATCTATCTTCAAACATTTTGATTTTTGGTGGATGCTTTGAAGCCTTAATGTTTCATTCTTTATTAAGAATATCTCGTTTCATAGTTATGAAATCAAGTCAAATTGTTGAAATTTATTAGTAAATATTTTAAGGTAGACCATAAATGAGGATGTATACCAGAAAATTACAGTGCTTTTGGTTCTATTAAGCATTCATTATTTTGTATACCACAATTAATAAAGGCTTGTAGATGTTCTTATTTGCTCAATCAAGTTTACCAGCGAAATATTTGTTGTAACGATCTATTTGGTTGAAAGATGATTGTATAACCAAATCAAATACAATGTTGTTAATTCCTGTGATAACGTGTACAATTATTTGGTGATAAACAATCTCAATTATGACCATTTACTAACAAATATGTTCAGGATTGAGCTTCAATTGATATAGACAAAAAGAACATATTTGAGACTATGTTTTATAAAGCTTGAGATTTAATTATGAATTCTGTTTATGGTAAAATGAGGTACGCCTATTCTTGAAATGATTTGTAAAATTCCTTACATGGATATTCTGGATGTCATTGGTAAAATCTTTGACATTAGTTTGCCATTGCCATTTACCAACACTATCTTGCTAGTCAAATAATGGAACTTAATGAGGTTGCAATATATTAACTTGTTAAATTAAAATGCTTAATGTGCCATTAGTGGATTTAAGATTAAGATTTATGGTTCGAATGGCAACAAAGGTCAATGGCATAAATGATTGATTGTATTGTATTTCTTTAAAAAGACTAAAGGCACAATTTTATTTCTAAATTTTGAAAATTTACTATGAGCTTGTTTGGTAGAGATTTTGATAATTGATTTTTTGATCGTTAGAGATAAAGTGGGTCCTACCTGTGAGAGAAGAATTCAAAAATGATGGCTAGAATAGTGAAATAACGGTCAAAAAATTGATTTTAATTAGCTTTTAATCCGTAACAAACAAGAACTATATCTATTCTGTGTAATTCTTATAAAATAAGCTGTCCCCTCATGATTAGCGAAGTCTTATGTGTGTAATTTATTTTCTAATGTTAAACGGAAATATGTGTAATCATGATGGATACCGAGTATGAAAAATAATATCAAACTTTTTGCAAGATACTATAGAACCTCACTTAGAACTAATGATGACCAAAAAAATCCCTATAACTGTTGATGTGCTGCTCAAAAAAGTAACTTCGCAGTTTGTTAAATATCTTGCAAAAGTTCAAAAGTAAAATTTTTAATAAAGCCTTGCAATATCAAACGAAAAGAAATCAAGCAATGCTAATACAACTTACAAGTATGCCCTCTCGAACATCCTCAACAAGCATCTGAAATTTGTTACCAGTCCCTGACTGCTTGGAGTGATTTCTCCTCTGCTTGGAGTGATTTCTCCTCTTCCCCCCTTTGGAAAACAAAATTCCAAGCTCTCGTTCTACTTCACTGTATTAAAAATAATAATAATAATAATAAAACATCGAGCAAGACAGGAAGGAAATTGTTTTAACAAAAAAATAATAATAATAATAAAATATTGAAACTCAAATCACCTGCGATTTCTACGAGTCTTCATTGTGCATAACTGGTTTTCCATGTGAGTTAATACATAAACAGATTTTGGCGTCTCTCTCCAAGGGTTCGCCTCTAGTACTGGATAGGAACATGGGGAAAAAAAAAAGTGTTCAGTGAAAATTTTGCAAACTGCATTTTTTGATGACATGAAGCTTAATGAAATTGGTCTAAAAAAAAATCCTCCAGTAAAAAGCACTGGAACCACGTGCGAACCCATTCTATAGGACACTCGAAATAATTCAGTTCTTTGCAATTCCCTGCACGCATGCAAGCTCACTAAACAACACGAGAAGCGGGAGTGTTCAGTGAAAATTTTGCAAACTGCATTTTTTGATGACATGAAGCTTAATGAAATTGGTCTAAAAAAAAATCCTCCAGTAAAAAGCACTGGAACCACGTGCGAACCCATTCTATAGGACACTCGAAATAATTCAGTTCTTTGCAATTCCCTGCACGCATGCAAGCTCACTAAACAACACGAGAAGCGGGGGCAGTTAGATAGATGTAAGGTCGAGGATGCGCAGTTTACTGAAGAATTAGTTTTCCATTTTATTCAGCAGAAATGGGTGATTCTTCAGACTTCAGTCATTGGGCGTCAACGATAAAATGTGTAGTCAAAATGGGAAATCAATCAATCACTAAAAATATAAATTGACCGAGAGTCTTGGGAGTTTTTGATTCATTATAGATACTGCAGCATTTTTGCAGTTTTTTATCCATCATTATGCTTTGTGAAAAGACAACGCTCTAGCTTTTCACATACTCCAAATTATCAAATTTTACTTCTAAAATTCAGAGACCTAATTAAACCTCTGGCTTATCCACCAATGTTAACGACTAACTACATAATATCACTCAAGGCAAAATTGCTTCTACATTTCACAACTATGTGTTTCAATATGGCTGTCAGAACTCACATATATAAAAGCTGCAATGACCAGAGAAAATTTTGGTTAAATCGTAAAAATCAAATGGAGTTGGTGTAGCCTTTTACCAATGAAGTAAAGAGTATAGACACCGTCTATAGTTAAAATACAACATGTCAAACTCACTGAAAATTGCTTAAAGAGTACAGCCATACGCTGTTCATTCAAGAAAATAAATAAACAGATTAGAATCATACTTCCACAGCTGTATGTACTATGTACTGTTAATTCAAGAAAGAATGCTCCAGTGATTAACCAAATGGCAGTACGAATGCAAAACAAATCAGGGGCTAAAATTTCTGGGAAACAAATCGAGAAACTGAAGAGAATTTACCGTCATAGCTACTGCTATCAAACGTCTGGTGAAGGTGTCTACGCATGTCGTAAGCGCGTGAAGACACCTGCTTAACAAACTCGTTGGAACTCCCGGGAATTGTACCGTCCATGTGCAGCGCCCTCTCCAATTCCTCGTCTCTCCGACCATTTTCGTCCTCTCTCTCGTCTCCTCCTCCGCTCACTTTACAGTAAATTTCTACTCTTTGCCTTCTTTTACAAGAGCATAAGGGAGAAGAAATAAGAAGGTTATTAATTGGCTTGATGTATGCAGACGATAGAGCGATTTGCCGCCGCCGGTGGTGATGGCGGCTGCGGAGGGGAGTGGTGGGAGGGAGTACTATAGATGTCGATACTGTTGACAAAGAATCCATGTGATTCCTCCTCCTTCTTCTATAACCCTGTAATTTCTTAGTGAATATATATACACAGCAACTGTAATCAGATATGGGGAGATTGAGAGGAAGAGGGAGATTAAACTGTAGAATCTTGTGAATGTGAATCTTCTGTTTACGCTGGTACCTGAAAATCTGCAGATTTTTTTTCTGGAGTTCGTTTCAAGGGTGGGTCCGGTCTAATTGGACGGGTTCTGATGTCGGAGCTCCAAATCAAATTGGAACCGCTGTGCCGGGATGACCACATTGTTAACCAAATATATACACGGAGGGTGGAAATTATTTTATTCACGAGGGACCTAAGTCGACCATGTGAAGGTGCTGTCACTCGAAGTGTCAATGGCGTGAATCATCTGGCTTCTTCTAAATGTACAACACTTATTACTCTATACCCCTCTCACAATGAGAGAGTTCATAAATATAATATTCATATGTCCCTTACATCGTAACAGGATTGTATACCATAGTGTACAATAAGATTTATTGAAATTGGAAAGGGTAACCCTATTTTTTTTTTCCGATTGTTATCAATATTGGAACAAGGATAAATAAAGTTTATGTTTAATGCAATATCATTAAATTTATTTTTTTATATTTTGTTTCCAATTGGACATCTTTTCAATATTTTACACATAAGCTCATAATTTTTCTTACTTCTAATCATACATTATCTAAAAAATCATTTATTCTCAAAAAACCTACATCAAATGGGACAAAAAAGTTTCAAATTTTAAAATCAACTCGAATGCTGACATGAAAAAGTTTTCTTCTCGAGCCATATAGTCAAATTGGTAATAAAAAAATCAAATAATCTAACAAATAAGAAGTTGAGGAAATTGCGGACATTGTCCAATTTTGACACGCCGTTTTGAAAATGATAGTTGAAAGGTTTGCATCTTAATTCTCATCTAGATCTCAAAATCATTTCTTTTTCCCTCTATTATAAATTTTTTTAATCTCTCATTCAACCCGAACCCAAACTAATCGTTCATTCACCGATTTCTCGCCCATAAAAATTGTCACCATAAGGCCTTTTGTCATGAGAAAAGACCCAAATCAGAGGGGTACTTTTTAAAATAACCAAGTCAAAACATTAAATTTCCACATTTACGAACTTTTTTTTGTCATTCACCAAAAAGGTCTTTTGAAAATTAAATGTCATTTTTATCCTTATTATTTGATGTAATTACAAAAACATATCATTTGCCCAAAATACAATAATACCCTCTTTAAAAAATTAATAAATCCAAACAATCCCACTTAAATCTCAAAACGAAATCACTTTCCTTATCAGATTTTTCAACACAATTAAAAAGAAATTTCCTCTTTCATCTGCTTGAACATTGAAATCTCAAAAAATTATCAAAGGCTCAACAAAAAAGTATTACTCACAATCAGCACTTGAAATTGTTAAATATAAATACGTATGTTTAATTTTATTTTAGTTAAATTAGTACATTGTTTGAAAACTGAAATTTTATTTCAACATATAATTTTAGAAAAATAAAATATTACAGTCTTAAATTGATGTATAATTTTTTTTAGCAAAAACGAGAAAAAAAATTTATCTGTGCAGATGCAAAATGTAGAAGATAGCCGACTAAAAACGTGTTCGGGCCAGATGTTTAACAGCCTGCCCGGATCTGGGCAGACTGTTACACGTCATTTTTTTTGTCATATTTATTTTCGTCCTTTTATTCTCGTAATTACATTTTTTTTAATAAATGATATTGCGTAATGCAGATATGGGATCAGCTGCTGTCCCGATTTGTTACTTTGGTGAATTTGAAAATAATGGCAATGACCAATGAATGTGGAAATTGACGAGTGAAAGACATGGTTATATTGCAATTCTAATAACATCTATTGCATCATATGCAGAAATGTACAATAAGATACAGAATTTGTTGAAAGTCGATCCCTCTGAGTACGCCATGAAATTGGGATTTCTAATGGGTGAGAATACATCCATTTCAATTCTACTTATAACGGTTACTTTTGAAGCCAAAATGAAGGTTTTAATTGAAATGAACCAGAAACGTATTATTCCTATTTGCGTAACTTTGATGAAGAAAAATGTCCCCGAGAGTGAACAGGAAGATTTCAATGGGAGGGGATCGTAATGTGAATGAGGTTTGGGACACAGTGGAAATAGTGCGTAATGATGTTGTAGCTGTTCCAGAGACAGTTGCTCCTTACCATAATGTCACTGTTACATACAGAATTTGCTCGGTAGTTCAAGACAACCAAAGAGATAATGACTTTACAAATGAGAATTTGATTGCTTTATCCCGTTTGAGACATGCGTCGAGTGGAAGTTCACAGGCTGGACCGAGTGCACGGTCCTCTAATTGTTCGCATATAGTCCCCGATGATGAAGATTTGTATGTCGAGCAACTGTTTGACACGAAGAAAGATTTGCAGGAAGTTGTTCACCGGATTGCTTTGAAACACAATTTTGAGTTTAAAGTGAAGAAATCAAACAAGTGGCCTTACACAATTGTCTGCGTTGACGATAGTTGCATTTGGCGTTTGCGAGCAACGAAAATGGACACGAATGGGTTCTTTGTGGTTCGTAAGTATGCACGGGAACATACTTGCGAAGTGCGTATTCGTCGAAATGATCACAGGCAAGCCCGATCATGGTTCATTGGTCGAGAAGTAATGCACAAGTTTCAGGACCCACGAACAATCTATAGACCTTCGGACATTATTAATGACGTTCGTCGAGAGTACGGGGTGGTCATGAGCTATCAGAAGGTTTGGAAGGCCAAAAAATGCACGTTAGAGGACTTGATGGGTTCGACCGAAGAGAGTTATGCTAAATTGGCCAAGTATTAATTTCAATTGTTTACTAAATTATTTATCAAATCTTTATCTAATGTGTAATTAATTATTTAATTCAACTGTTAATTTTTCAGTTTTTTAATATTGTTTATTTAATTATTTAAATTATGATTATTGTTTATTTAATTGGTCAGGTTTTGCTATAACATGGGAATAATTAATATTGAATCGACATTTTTTATTGAAAATGACGACGATAATCGCTTCAATTATTTCTTTATGGCCCTTGGACAATGCGTTCGAGAATTTCGAAACGCAATGTGACCCTTAATTCTAGTGGACGGTACAATCCTCGAGGCGAGATACAGGGACAAGTTGATTATTACAACGTGTAAGATGCTAACATCCAAATTTACCCTATTGTATTTGGCATAGTTGACGGAGAAAATGATTTGGCAATGCATTGATTTTCACAAAGTTGAGAGAAGTAATTGGGGATGTTGAGAACCTTACATTCGTAACCGACCAAGGGCAGTCAATAATTAACGGTATCGTCGAAGTCTTCCTCGAGGCACATCATGGTTATTGTATGTACCATATACAAGGAAATCTAAAGACCAAGTATCAAGGCAAGGGCATCGTTACGTTGTTTAGGAGAGCTGCAGAGGATTACAGCTTTCAAGAGTTTGAAAAGTTTATGGTTGAAATCGAAAGTAAATCCTATGATGCATGGGAGTATCTGACGGAGATGGGGATCGAACATTGGGCACGATCACATTTTTCAGGACATCGATACAACATGATGGCGTCGAAAAATGCAGAGTCGCTCAATGCCATATTTAAGAAGGATCAAGGGTTACCAATTCTCACAATACTTGAAAACATTCGTAACAAGCTACAACAGTGGCTTCGTCGTGAGGAATCAAAGAGTTGCACAAGTGTGCTAACCCCGGCCCAGGAAGATAAACTCTTCAAAACTCTAGAGGTGGCAAGGAAGGTATATGTAGAACCACTAGATCAGTTTCGCTTCTCCGCGAGATGTGCACGTAATTTCGGATACATCGTCGGCTTGAATGATAACACGTACACATGTAGACAATTTCATTTGGAGAATTTTCAGTGTACATATGCAGTGACAGTGACTATGTATAGAGAAATTCCACCACACACATTATGTAGTGCTTATTACACGACTGGATCTTGGAGAACAGCATATGCCGAAACTATACTTCTTGTACCGAATGAAGCTGAATGAGAAGTTCCAGATCATATTCTCTCATTGAATAACTTGTTGCCACCAGCAGTCGGCACACGTACTCCTGGATGTACACGTACGTCTAGAATGCCATCGACCGGAAAATTTCCCCGACCTCGTAAGTACGGCAGGTACGGTGCAACAGAACATACTAGAAGATTTTGTACAAGTCAGATCCCTCTGCATGACAACGTAACAGGTGTATAATTGAAATTTATGTAACATTATTTATAACATTGATATTAATTATTCGCGCATATTCTTAATGTTAATTATTAGATTTAGTTTTTTTATTTTAATATTTCATTAATTAGTTGTGTAATATTTGAAGTTAATCATTTTTTAAAACTCAGTGCGTTCTCCACAATATACCCAAACATTATAAATACGTCGTGAAACATTTAAATAAACACATAAATTAAAAAAAATCAATATTAAAAAAATAATATACGTTTTACAATTATTTCGTAATTACAAATGAATGAATAAACGAATGAATGAAATATACAATGTTTAAACGTTACATTATGTACAATTATTTTAAAGAAACAACACTAAATATTTATGGATCACCATTAAATTCAAATAAATTACAAGCTAATTTATTTCTCCAATTTTGTATCCACGCCTGGTTGATTGCGTCAACCTTCTGTGCTACACTAAAAAATTTTATGTACTTGATAGCGAGTATGCCGCAATCACCCTTACAATTACAAAATATTGTATAAGTACATCACTGTCTAATTAGAACGCAAACTGTAAATTACAAAAATAAAATAATAAACACTTACGATATTTGCTGTCTCACCGTCGTCGTGTCCCGCACGGTGGCTAGTCTGTCTTGCACAGTAATGTTCGCTCGTCTAGCCAACATGGGGACGATTACAAACACCGACTCCAAATTTTGCTCGAGCTGACCTTGTGTCAGGCATGAATGATCGGGGTCATACACATACATAGTCGAGTCGGCAAATACAATCTCCATTGCAATGTAGTGATGATTGACACACATCGAAATATACAGATGCGTACAATCCTCTCATGGCTTTCCCCTGACACTCGGCCACATCCCCACGATCCACTCCATCATGTATATAGGTACCGTTTACTCGCTACCCATAGCTTGCAACGTTTGGTACTCAATATCAACGACACGTATGAACTCAGTGTTCAATATGAGTCGGCCAGGAATGTTGAACGATCTTGGATGTCGTTCAACTCGATCTCGTA